GTATATACGGTGGACCGTACAAAGCGAGACTAAGACACGCTGGTCGTGTATAACTCGATGTGTACTTTGACATCTGATAGTGTTGCTTCATATTTGCGTAAGAGCCAGTTGCACGATGTAGTTCAGTCCGTCAGCGAGCTGGTGGCGCGTGTACCTGTCCGGAGGGACGTGCACGAACAGAGTGCTCCGAGGGCCGCCGTGGCTGAGGGACGTGTAGTATATGTAGCCGCAGAGATATCTGGAACATGAAGCTAGCTGTACACACATAGGCTGCAACGTCTACCGTGTCGCCGTGTCGCCGTGTCGCCGTGTCTGTTTTCCAAAGAAACGAGGAAAACAATACTTGGATATACTCAGGTATACTCACTGCTCAGCGAGTCGGTAAGATATGGTCAAACCCACCTGCCAGGATCACTAGACACTGTCGCCTCCAGAGAGCCTCCATCCAGCTTGAGCTCGTTGAACTCCTTGCAGATAGCCTCGACGTCTAGCGCCGTACGAAGTACGTCTGGTCCAGGAGCTCTGTTTATACCGCGGCAGGGAGTCTTTCCGACCACGTCCAGGTACGTGTAGTCGGACTTGTATGCTTGTAATTCCAACGTGAAGCAGTCTACCGCGCCTGACACACCGACGTGTACAGCCAACTGGAGACATTACAGTACATTAGTCTATCTATAATTACTAGGTACTATATGAAGCTGCAGCAATTGTTTATTTGAACGCGCTATCCACGAAACTACTGGTTCGCTATAACACATCACGCCACGGTCTATAGGAGTCGAGCAGCGGGAGTAGTTAGTATAATATAAGTTACAATAACTTACATCTGGTCGCAATTGTCTCCACTTCCGAGGTACGTGATAGTCCACGAAGCCATACTTCACAGGGAGCTGCTGTTTCACCACAACAGCTCCGTACTTCTTCTTGATGCCCCGCGTCGGCACGTGTTTGACTCCTACCCAACTGCTGTTCACGACAGCTCCTTCGAAAGGCCCGAAGCCGGTCAGCCAAACTAATTTGTGCTCCATTGTTTGCAACAATCACACAAGCTGTGTATGAACTGTTCGGAGTAATGAAATATTGTACTAATGCGGTGTCGATGGCGACCTGACAGCTAATGATTCACACTTGGTCTATCCGTTTATTTAAATACCTACAATTAAAATTGTGACGTTTTAGAATTTCGTCAAAACTGAAAGTTATCTAATAGGGGTAACTGCGACAATTAGCGGAAATATGAAATATATAGCTGCGTCGATGAGAGTCGCACTTCTAAACATGGGCATACAATTACTAGTGGACCAATGAACCACTATCCGCGACTATGAACTACTCCATCAAGTAGGTGTTGCAGTAGTACATTCCGATCAGTTCAGTCTCACTGAACCTAATTGTAGCTGACGACGGACCATCATCAACGGCCTATGAGTGGCCCCTGCTGGCCAAAGACTCGAAGAACGTTTGACCATTACTCACCACGTTTGCTCAATGCGGGTTGATGATTTCGAACTGATAATTAGAAAGTATAAGCCCAGGTTTCTTCACGATGTTTTCCTTCATCGTTTGTCAGTGGTGTCTAAATAATCTTAGAGATTACATTAACAAGAAAAAGTCACATTGATACTTGCCGTTGGTAGGGTTCGAGCCCGCACTCTCGTGCATGAGAAGCGGGCGTCTACACACTCTCTCTCTCTCTCTCTCTCTCGTTGGTCGATCCTACCTGCTTGAAGATTACACAGGTTCAACTCAGGAACTGCCACGTTCCACCAGATATATTGTTGGGTTGAACTAATGGGGGCTACTGTATTGTTGCTCACTACATGGCGCTAATGTGAACCTCTCGTTCCTCGTCCAATAGGGGATTAGCTAGTGTCCCACCATTGGACGTTCAATATTTGACAGCTGCAGTGATTGGACTAAAAAATCTCTTGCTATATTTATGAACAAAAACACGGTAGTCCCCATTGCCGTACAGGTGCAGGGTACAATTCCAGATTACCTTACTACTGGCTTTGCGAAGAACTGAAAAAGTCGCAATATCTGCAATAACGTGTATGATGGGAACTTGATGTCTCGGTAGCGACAACGCGACGAAGGAGGCGGCCATTGACCTAATATGTACAGGAAGTTGTGTCCGACGGATAGAGGAAGGAAAGTGGGATCATTGCAGTTACTGTTACGACACGCGCGTGTCGTTCGACTCATGCGTCATCGGACGCGAGTGTTGCCGTGCTTCGACTCTATTTTGTTATCTCGCAAGCTCTCGCCAATCTCACGAAATTGCCAGTATTGTATTGGGACTTTGAAGTTGTCTTCTCCTATTGAATATTTCCAACTTTAAACAAGCGCTCTTCATCCTCTCGTCTATACAAAGTACTCTTGCTGTGCCCGACAGGGTCCATAACTGTTTCTGTAGGTACATACCTTCTAACAATGCCAACTGTTGTACAATAAATACATTATGGACTGCAATAAAGTATTGAGTATTGGACTTCGTTGTTTTGGTATCGAAAACATAACATCACGCCCTTTATCCCTGAAGGGGTAGGCAGAGGTGAACATTACGCCACTGTACAATGTAACACCCACTTTTCACTATTTATGTTACGAGTCCCATGTAATAGGGAGTGAGCCTATTGCCACATACCGGGCACAATTCCAAACTCCGTGCTACTACTGAGATTTTTTTCATAAAAACCCGTAATACTTTGCCCGACCCGGGAATCGAACCCGAGACCCCTTGCCCGGCAGTCGCACTTGCGACCACTCGGCCAACGAGGC